TAAAAATATTTTTTTCCATCTACTTTATGATAAATATATGATCCATATTTATGATGCATCATTTGATCAGTTATAATCCCATTATTCAAACTGAAAGATTCTTTAGTTTGTAAATTAAAAATATAGTTACTCGACTCAATATAATAGTAAAAATATGTTTGTAAATGATAATTAAAATCTGATTCTGGAACTATAAAGTATTGATGATGAATATTCTCATTTTTATAAGTTAAACTTGGAATAATCCAATCAAAAAATAATGCTGAATATCGTTCAAATTCAAATTCATCACATTCTTTGATTTCATCATTTACTTGTAAATGATATTTGTTGTTAGTTTTCTTTAATAATATATTAAACATAATTTGTTTATATAAAACTCTAATCAGTCTTTGACTGATTAGAAATAATTTTAAATATATTAAATACAACAAATAAAAATTTATAGCTACTAATGCATTAGAAAGTTCAATTAAACAAAATCGTAAATTGGGACCAATTTCAATTAAAAGTTCCTGTGCCATTGTAAAATTATTTACCAAAAAATCTAATCGGTTTTTGACTGATTAGATGTATAATACTTAAATATTGAATAGAAAATATGAATTAATAAATGAATTGTAATCGTTAAACTGATTATAAATAACGTAAATGCTACTGCTTTAGAAACTTCTATTATACATAAAGAAGCATTTGGTCCAAATTCAATTACAAATTTTTGAGTAAACATTTTGTATAAATGAAACAAATTAGATTCATGTAGTTTTTATATTTAATTTTTCTTTTGAAAATAGTAATCGATTTGATTTCGTTTTGATATAAGAATATCTAATTTTACTGGTTTACGTTTCTTTTTGTTACTTATGAATTTTGTTTCTACTAATTTTTTCTCTAAATTATTCCAAGCTTCATCTAATGTAGTTTGTTTTGAACATTTTAGATTTTCATTATATATCATCTCAAGAAATTGTTCAGTTTCTTCTATTTCTTTTTTTAATAATGGTGCACAAATATCTCGTAATGATTTAAAATAATATAAGTAATCAAATTTTTGATCTTCTTTAATTTTAGAACATGGCCACATCTTTTCATACATTTGTGCTTTTTTATCTTGATGTGTCATTATATAATAATAAAATCTTCCAGCTACGATTTCAATTCGATGTTTATCACTCATTCGAGTTACAAAATTAATTACTTTGGTATTTCCACCTTTCTTTTTAGGTTAAAATTTTCCATTAGCAAAATCAGTTAATGTTGTACGTTTGAAATCAGGATTATATTTATCTGTTAATTTAAACAAATTCAAATCCTTTTCATCAATATATTTCTTGACTACTTCACTAATAATTTGTTCAATACTTTTGTCATTATTCATTAAGATTTCTTTTTGATCTTTAAATCCTAATACTGACCATATGATGTCTGTAGAAATAGTTCGATAGAATTTTGTTGCATTTTTTTTAATGATTCTTCCTTTCATGAAAAGTTTTGGATTATCAAAATCTGCATATTCTTCATGTTTGATTCCAAAATACATTTTTTTCTGTGGAAATATTTCAGGCATTAAAACTTTTTCTAATACTACAGCTAAATATGAATATCCTGTTTCTTTTTTTAAGACTTCATTTATATGTAATTGAAGACCTTTAGAAAATCTGATTGTTTCATTAATCATTTCAGTCCAAAATTGTTTTTTAATTACTGGATTGTCTATTGGTTTATATTTGTCATGAATTTTTTTTAACATGTTTGTAGGTAATGTATAAAAAACAGAATCAGTATCACCATAAACTACATTACATCCTTGTAACTTTATAATTTCCATAACATGTCGAGTAAAGGAACGAGCTGAAGCAGTCACTGATGATGCAACTTGTTTATTATATAATGGTGAATATATATATCCTGTAACTCCATAAATTAAATTTGCTAATACTTTTAATGCATTTGATTTTGATTTGTAGTATGGATATAATTGCTCATTATTTTTATATAATTTCATCATTTGTTTTGTTTCTTTACGAGCTGTTAATAATTCTTCACACATCAAAGGGATAATTCCCATTTTTGTTTTATCTCCATTATGAGGTATATATTTACCATATACTTTAAAATTATCAGTTATTACATTAAGGTTAGGATTGTTTGAATTAATGTCTACACAAGTATCATTTGATATATTCGAATTAATTATCACATTTGGATATTCTGATCCAAAATCTACATCTGCAACTAGTACAAATTGTCCTAAAAATTCTATTGATGGCATTTCAGGTGATATGACTAATCCTCCACCATATTTTGTTTTCTCAATCCTTCCTTTTCGAATCATAGATATTAGCATATCTTTTTTAGCACAATATCGTCCATATAAATTATTTACCAAACATCCTACACCATTAGTAAATACATTTGATATAGTAATACTTGTATATTTAGCAATTTGAATATAATCTTCTATTATGTTTCTTTTTAATAATAATTCATGACAACGTAATGTATCAACTGAACAATAATATGCAATCTTACAAGTATATTCTTCTAATGTACTAGTATTAACTTGCATCTTTTCTAATATTTTTTCATGTTTTTTTTTTTTTTTTTGGTATTAAGGTGACCTCTTTGGTCTTTTGACTTTTATTAATCACTTATCGGTATTGTGG